AGCTCGGCCTATCTGACAACAGCGAGGACCTCGTGGGCGTAGGCAGCAGCAGAAGAATGAAAAGACTTCATGCCCTCCCGCATCCTTGGACAACTGCAGAATGTGTGCATGTACGTATGTGATTTGTAGTTTATTCTGCAAAACCCCTGGGTTTGGTGACTTGGGTTCTGGAGGCGTCGAATATTGCAGAATGAGAGGTGCCTCCTTCCAGCAACTGAGGTGCTTATCGGATATCGCAGTTTATTGCAGAATTCTTCCTGTGACATCAAGCTGGTGCAAAGAATCCACCCCGCCAGACATGTCAAAAGCTTGTCAATAATGCAAAATACAGTATCGCACGTTGGCCGCACGTTGCCCGGACCCTAGCTTTCCTAGGGCACAAAGCACTTGTCTGGCATGTGCACGTTAGTGAATTTTCATTGTTGCGCACAAATTGGTCACTCAGCTGTAGCGGGTTGAAGCAGGGGATCAACTCCACCAGGCAGCGTAAGGCACCAAAGAGTTGGGCGTGCCCCGTCTTCCCAGACCTTTCTGAGACGACCAGGAGCTGATCCTGGCCCACACCCGTCAAACCTCCAACCGCGTCCAGATTGACGTGGCGTTGTCAGCCGGGGAAAGTGGATGTTGGAACTTGCAGTGCTGGAAGTCGCAGTTTGAGCACCGAGGTGGCGGAACTTGGGCTGCCTGCAACTATAGTCTCCATCGTTTCGCAGCCGCTAGAGTTGTCGGGTCTTGGCACCACTTGTGCAAGCTTCTTTGCCGGATGCAGGATATGGGGTGGGTTCGAGCTTCGCCACATCGTGAGATCCTAAAACTAAAGCCTGCGTGGCGAGGGGCCGCCCATGTGGAGGGCAGTAAGTCATATCGTGCAGGCTGCCGACATTGCTGTTGCTGCGGAGCGTCGCTGACCATGTATGCATCCATCCACTCGGACCACCCCGCTTGAGCTAATCTTTGAAATTCGGAGTTGTCCGTCCTTCCGGACAATTCCACTAACTTCAATGGCTGCGTGAACGATGTGGGCGAATCTGGGAAGCCCGTTTGGGGCTGAGACTGTCGCCAAAACTGCATGAGGGCAAAGCAGCAAGACATCGGGGGATTGCTGTATCTAGCGTCTTAGTTGGTGCGATTCTAGAATGTGCTGCTCCACCTGCCTTGCCCATGGCACCACTTTTGCAAGCTTCTTTGCTGGATCTGGAGTGGGTTAGATCTTTTCCTCGCATTCGTGAGCACCTGCAAGAGCGCAGCATTCCCCGAAGGATGTGGGTTGCCAGTTCTGGCACAAATGGAGCTTCCTTGCTAGGGACTTGAGACTTGGGATGGGGAGGCACCCCAGAGCATACTCTTGATTTGCACATGATCAGCTACTAGCCCTGGGTTAGGAGACGGCGGGCCCTTTGGATGAGTAGAATATATGGCAGGAGATCCCAAGACTGAAGCCTGCGTGGCGAGGGGCCGTCCGTGTGGAGGGCAGTAAGTCATATCGGGCAGGCTGCCGACGACGTTGTTGTTGCTGTAGTTGCTCCGGAACGTCGCTGACCATGTATGCATCCATCCACTCGGAAGGTGTGCTTGAAGAAACCCTGCAGCTAGTCTCCGAGCTGCGGAGTCGTCCGACTTTTCGGACAATTCCACTAACTTCAATGACTACGTGTGGATACAGGACACACCACACTATCACAACTCAAGACAGTCTCGGCCCAGAAGGAACGGGTTTCTGGCTGCGGACAGGGATGGAAAGCTGAAGTGTGACTGAGAATCAAGTGTGAGTTGTTTCAGTGTCGAAGCTGCACCTCGGGTCGGAGACTGGAGAGCGGAACAGAGAATCGCTGTAGATACACAGAACAGGCATAGGCAGTTCCTCGGCTAATTGCAGCTCAGACGGTGTGGCCTTGAAAGCTGGCGTTGACGAGCACATAGCATGCTCGCCTCAGACATATGGCATGTCCATGTGCCCAAAGAGCGACTACCTTCGATGAAATCTTGCCCAGGCAAGCGGAGCAGGCAAGCGCAAGCCGTAAGGATCTGATCACGTTTCGGTTCGGCATGAGCTTTTTGAACTCGGACAAGGCTCGGGAATTGAAGCACCGTGTGACACTCAAGCCGCAAGTGCATGCCGTGGCTTCTGTTTTTTTCCTCCGGTTTGGACTGCACCAATCGTCCAGCAATTTTCGCTGGTCAAGCGTTGCTCTGCTTTCCGCTGACATGAGCTGCGTGCGCCATGCGAATTGACACTGACGGGCGTAGCTTCCGCACATCGCTGAGCTTTCGCAAAGAAGGTGCAAAGGCATCTCCTCAACCGCAAGGGGGAACCCAGCTGACAGGCACCTTCAGGACTCTCGAGGCACCTTCAACCCGTAGGCACTCAAGATCATGCCCATGCTGTTAAGTCCCATAGCTGCCCCGCCACTGCACGACCTCGAGTGGGTTAGGCCGAGTAGCCGTTTATAATGGCGCTTTCGAGCAGGAGATGCTGCGCACCAGCATCAATGGCTTGACTGCCTTGCACGCTTATAAGATGCCTCGCGCAGCTCGTGTATGCGCCCTGCGAGCTTGTACCAACCTGGCATGTAGATGATGAGGCATGGTGCTCTTCATGCGCCACTTCCAGCGATGTTTGTTATGCTCAGCTGTGCTTGCCACATCTACTTTACGCTGCACTGATGCCCAGTGGCCATCGTGATCTACAGGGCTTTGAGTGCTGCGCGGTGTGCTCCAATTTGCCATCGGTGCATGAACCAGCACAAGTGTCACAGCTGGTGGCCGGAAAACACAAAGGCGCCGCTCTTTCCAAAGTGCCCTCGTCCTGAAACTGGTCCGGGTTGATCGAAGAGGCACATCTTGAAAAACAGCCGAAGGTCGGAAAGTGCCGTTGTAACCATCTTCCTTGAGTACAATGTTTGGGGGCAAGGGGGAGGGGCAATTGCTGGTTAGGGTGAGGATTCCCTGAAGCTTGTTCAGGCTGTGGAGACGCAATCGAAGGCATAGCACAGCACAAGCTACCCAACCTGCCCTTGGCGGCATCCGTCTCATGATGCTCGGGTCCGGACTGAACCACGGATAAGCCCCAGTTTGCCGTTGGTGTAAACTTTGCGCACATCATTCCAGTTCGCACGAATCATGCTTCCAGCAGCAGAGTGTGTGTACAGGGAGCGCAGCGGTTGTGGAAGGCTTGCCGGATTGCGCAACTCTCGGAGGGACCTTGGGCGATCCCGCAAGGTTTGCCCTGGATGGGGTTCATGTTCATTCTGACGCAACAATAACCGATTACAACAGCCCGGCTAGAAAGCTCTCTTGCGCAGCCACTCTGAGGGAGGGATGTTAGTCTCCGTCTCGCTGCAGGTCCCGGGTCAGCATCAGGTAGTGTTCAGGCTCTCATGGGTGCTTCTCCTGGCACAGGCCCAAGAGCCTCGCAAGCAGAGCAGCCGGAGGTGGTGCGGGATACTTCAGGGCTTGAAGCAATTCCTGGTAACGGCAAGTTAGAGATGGTGCGACGCAGGAGCAAAATCTACGTTCGACCATGAGTTGTTTTCCGAAGCATGCACGACAACCACCCTGCAAGAGTTCAAGGCGTGATGCTCCCGTGTCGAAGAGGGCACTGCCTGTCAGGTTCCCGCAAAGGACCTAGACTCGCGTGTCATCGGGGCCGGTCGAACCCTCTTCAGCTTCCTCTTCTGCTGAGCGCTACCAAATAGGAATTGCTAGCTCGAGACGTGTGCACCGACCAAGGGGTGGTACAAGGTGTAAATGTCTAAAGTAATTCTTGGGATATTGCAAGACAGAAATTAGCCTGGCCCTCAGTGTGCCGGTGCCCATCGCGAAATTAAGTCTGCCACACCCCTAAACCCTAAACAGGCCCGTAGACCTTGCCAGGCTTGTCCGGGTGCGAGTGTCAAAACAAGAAGCCGGAGTCGAGTTCCTGTGGGACCCACCCTGAAGGCCTGGCTTAAGCTCCACATTCCCCTGGGCCCTAGACAATTTTGTATCTTGGTAAAATTTTAAGCGCGGGAGACCTAGCGCTCCGCATAGTAGCATGGGAACCGTAGTCAACGCCAAGATGTCTTTCTTGCCAGCACAGAACGTCTTGCAAGGCCCTGGCCGGCTCATGCCGGCACGCACAAAGGTTACTTTCGAGCCTGACACCGGCTCTAGCCTTTAGCCTGTTTCAGCACACGCAGCCTATCAGTCCATGAGCAGCTAAGTTCCACAAAGGCCATCGTGGCGCTTCGAGCCAGTGCCGAGGCCAATCCGCGAATGACACGAGTGGCACAAACCAAGCATCATCGGAGCTTGTTGATTCCCAAAATACTCCGTTTATGAGGCTTTGTATATCGCAAGTTTAGTCGTTGCCTGAAGTTGACCAGAGGCTCTGCTGTTGGGACCATGTGCAAGCATATAGGCTTGAGAATACGATCCCTGGCCCAGCATGCGCATGTCCGATATGATTCCGGATTGATTCCGGTGTAGCGACTGGCTAACCCCGGCAACCGTTTCCGACCACTGCATACTCCACTCCGCACGAAGCACGGTTCTGGAAGCAAACTCTTGCATGGACTGCAACGGTTGTGGAAGGGTTGCCGGACTGCGCAGCTGTGGGAGAGACCTCGGGCAATCCCACAAAGTTTGCCATCTGAAGCTGCCAAGGCTGTCCGTCGCCAAGCAATGATCGAGTACGACCGCCCGGCTAGAAAGCTCTCTTGCACAGCCACTCTGAGGAAAGGATGTCAGTCTCCGACTCGCTGCGTGTCCCGGGTCAGCATCAGGTAGTGTTCCGGCTCTCACGTTGCAAGAGTTTGGGGGTGTTCTCCTGGCGCAGGCCCAAGAGCCTCGCAAGCAGAGCAGCTGGAGGTGGTGCGGGATACTTCAGGGCTTGCCCCGAGCTAGGTCGCAGATGCCTCACTCGTACACGAGCTACAGGAGCAGTTCATTTGCAAGAGAGGCATGCCTAAGGAAGAAAGGCCAAGAAGCCGTGACAGGTCTTGCGAGGTTCGAGCTTGCCTCCGAATGCAGGGACCACAAGATCTGGTCAAGGCATTCTGGTAAACGTATGCAGGGAGGAGGGCTGTAGGGGCGTGTAAGACTTTTCACAGGATGTGCAGGCCTCAAAAGGTGCTTGCACATCCCTTTGAAAGAGCTTGCTGTCCCCGATGCGTTTGAGCTGTGCGACTACAGTGTGGACTGAAGGTGCCCGCCGTAACACGAAAATACCAGCCTCGGAGCCGGGACAAAAAGCGCAGCCATCTTTCAGCGATACGTTAGCAGGGCATTTCGGCACATGTGGGCTTTGTTTGTGGTCCTGCTGCGCCTTGTATTTGCGGGTGTCACATTCCAGCTCAAACCGACAGCACCTCCGCTTACCATCCGGGCAGCAACGGTCGGTTGACCAGTGCCTGTCAACAGCTCCAGCAAATGCAAATCCAAAGCTCGAAACTTTGCTTAATGTTCCTGGTGCGATTCGTGTGGGCATTCTCCACATGCTCGACGAAAAAGGCACCCAATGCAAGGTGCGAAAAACATTCCACAGCTGGCAAGCCGGCTTTGGGCAACAGCACTGTCTTAGCCGGAACGTGCCATCACAGCTGCAAGGCACCGCTGCAAGGCCGTTTAACTTCCGGTTACGGTTACTCGTGCTGCCTTTAGATGGGTGGATGTTCCGAGAAGCTAGCAGTATTGTCGGCAGGCTTTTCTTGGCTGTCTGAGAGATTTCAGTTCTGCGAAGGCATTCAACTGAGACTTGTTGTCGACCCCTCCTGCCAAACAAAGATGAGGCTACACAGAGGTGCTGGTGGATCATCTATGGCCCGAGTGCTTCCGGCCCTGTCCTCTGCGGGTGCAACATGACAGGGCGCTGCTGGCAAGAGCGGTGCCTTCAGCGCACGAAGCTGAAGCAACCCAGCAGACGCGCAGACCCACCCATCCCCTCCAGGACCCGGTGAAGTGCAAGGACGATGTGGCACGTGGTACATGGATACGACTAACTGTGACAAACTGCCACGGCAGTTTGCGCCCACATTGCGTCGCAGACCCTCGAGTCTCCCTGGTGTGCCTAGGCCAGTCTCTCGACATGTTGACCACTCTGCACCCTCATTAGTGTCCGGAAACTTTTCGTCAGCCGCGCCCAGTTCCAACGGAAACTGGTGCTAAGGGAGGCAAATCAGGCAGACGACGCCGCAACTTCGTGAGCACACTGAGCACCATTCTTACAGGTCCCTCGTTCTTTCTGTCCTCTTCCCGCTCGGGGCCAGCTCTAGCTGTGAAAGCGACCGTTGGTCACGCGATTCACGCGGCCTCCGTGCCGCCGACACAGCGGCTGTCGTTCTCTGAGAATTCACTAGACGAGCCCTTGGTCTGTGTAACAGCAATCCCTCTTCACCCGAGGCCAGAGTCGTTGTTGGAGCAAGCGTACGGTCTGATCTTTGAACTTGCACTGTGAAACAAACTACGCTCGGTCAACGGGTAGGGCCGAGTCTCCCGGTTTGCGGAGACCCATTCCTTCCGCGAAGCAAGGGATGCTTGGATGCGCGAACGCGGCCCCGTGAGCTGACGGCAGCTGCAGGGCTTCGTAACCGTCGTAACCGCCCTGCAGAGCTGATACCAGGAGCCACGTGGACCTCTACACCGCAGCTTCTGCCAAGCTACATGACCGGCCGCACACGATCAGAGCCCCTTGGTTTCTGCTCCGTGGCAGCCGATTCCGCTATTTCTATTGCCAGCTGATGCCTGACATCGATGGCCATGGCACCCGCGAGGTCCACTCAGGCTCCCAGTACTTCGTACCCACATTGTCGTAAACCCTAGCATATCCCTGGTGCCTCTCCACATGTTGACCACTCTGTACCCTCATTAGTGTCCGGAAACTTTTCGTCAGCCGCGCCCAGTTCCAACGGAAACTGGTGCTAAGGGAGGCAAATCAGGCAGACGACGCCGCAACTTCGTGAGCACACTGAGCACCATTCTTACAGGTCTCTCGTTCTTTCTGTCCTCTTCCCGCTCGGGGCCAGCTCTAGCTGTGAAAGCGACCGTTGGTCACGCGATTCACGCGGCCTCCGTGCCGCCGACACAGCGGCTGTCGTTCTCTGAGAATTCACTAGACGAGCCCTTGGTCTGTGTAACAGCAATCCCTCTTCACCCGAGGCCAGAGTCGTTGTTGGAGCAAGCTTCCCTGTGGACCAAGGTGACACTTGTTCAATGGCTGCGTTTCTGAGGACGGCGTGTTTGCGTGCTCGTACAGCAGGCCTTGAGTCTGCTTGAGAGCAATTGCGGGTTTCTTGCAATGGACTGCAGCCGGCTAGAGTTTGGCTGCGCTCAACCTGGGTGGTTTGCAGCCCTTGGCATGCAATCCGCAGACTCGACTGACACAACATATTTTGTCTCCACAGCCTTCATGACTGTGACATATGCGAGGTTTAGAACAGAGAGTCATGATCAATACAGCCTTCTGCACCCGTGTGCTTTTTCAACGACGCGATGAGAGGAGAAGGTCAGGAAGGTAAGTCCGTGCTGCGACAGCGTTACCCCATGTTCCTTAATCGACCGTTGCGGCGCTGTGTCACGGGACCTTGTTTGCTGCAACGTGTTTGTGCCGGTTCCTGCGAACACACCCACACTAACAATGACCAACCCAACAGGTTCGAGCATGCTTCAAGACATACGCTTTGATGCTTTGATGCAAAGAAAAATAGTCTCCCTTTCTCCTACGGTTGTTACTTGTGGGTGTCTTGTCGCTAGGGAGACTGCATGTTCCTTGGAGGCCCACAAGTCCTTTCTCCAGAGTTCGAACTCTAAAGTCATCCCTGCGGTGCGACTTGTCAGCTGGGCGGGTGGGAAAAAAAACAAAGATGAGGAAGACCCGCCACACTGTCGGTTTTTTCGGGTATACCAGCTAGCATGCCTGGCGATGGCCTATGGCAGTTGCAATGAAAGCCCGATGCTTTCCATTTCGGTTTGCTTTGCTGGGGAACAGTCATCTCTGGCGAGGTCCAGCAGAACCCGGTTGGTAAGTCTTGTCATGCAGAATGCTTGTAGCCGGGCTCTGTGCCTGGATGGCAGCGACAAGCGTGCGGGAAAGTGAGACTTGCAACGCTACGAAAGGCCCGGCTCTCGGGATGGGTTTCGGCTTTACGATTGGTCTTCGGCTTCAGCAGTCGGTGTGCCTTCAGGCTTTCGGTTCAACAGGACTACCATGGGGCGTGGGAATGTTTCACGGCTCAAGACTTCAGGCCCAGCGTTGTCGTGTTGAGGTCTCAGGTTTTCGGTCTCGGCAACTGCTGGGAGGGTTTGGACATGTTGGGATTAGGTTCATGTCTTTACAGGAAGGCAGCCTCTTGAGTACTGCCGAGCTTGCGCGCGATTGATGCTGATGATGGTGATGACGATGATGATGATGATGATGATGATCGTAGCACCTTCTTATCAGCTGCTGTTTCTGATACGGTGATCGCTGTAGCAGTTTTTCGTACTCATACTGGCATCTATTGTTTCTTCAAGTCCTGTCTTGCAGGTTCAGTGGCTTGTGTTCTACAGTCCACGTAAAAGGTAGAGCTAGCACTGGCTATGACTGTTGCTTCCAAAAGCCAAGCAGCAAATCCACACACTCTGCACGTTTTGACACCCTGCAAACTGTGAGGAGGGCACCATCAGCGATATGGTCTGAAAGCACTGCCTAGCACTGCCTAGCACTGCCTTGTCTTGGACCAACACCGTGGGCTGGCCCAAAAGTGACTGCGGATCCACACTTTCAGCAGAGGGTTTCGGCTTGTTCGGCTGTTGTAGCATTGGGTTTCGGTTCGGTTAGGCTTCTGGGCATGGACTTAGTCAGTCTAGTAGCTCAGGGAAGGAGGACATTACACCAAGCCAAAACACAGAGAGGTTTCCGAATTCCGAATTGGAAGGGTTTACTACAAAAGACGCAGCTTCGCATCTGTCAATGCGTGTGTAGCGAAGGCAGAACGTAAGGGAGGACAGCGGTAGTCGTGAAACCTGTGGTGGATCCAGTTTCGTCGTATTCGCAATTGCATCGCTGCCAGGCCCTTCGTGTACTCTGTGGGTTCAAGGTTGGGACTTTCTTAATTTATGAACCACCGTGTCCCGAACTTGGATACGGAGCGTTCTTGATTTCCATCTTGCCCTACCGTGAGCCGGGCATGGGTCGGTCGTGGCCGCTCCAGTTTTGTGTCCGCTTTACTGGGGATTACTGGGGCATGCGGCTACATATTTTCATGGGTGAAACTATATGTCATCCTGCCCATCCATTCTCTTGACGTGATGAAGAATGCACCTCGTTTTGGCTTCGAGCGTGAGAGCAGTAGATGAATTAACTCGCTTGCCGGGTCTGCTTCCACTTGGGAGAGCCTCAAGGCCAGGACCCCAGATTCCTTTCTGCTTCAACAGGGACCACGAGGTCGATGTTGCGCTGGTCAAGAGAGCCAGAGAGTCCTCAGCCTTAGCACGTCAACGACCGCAACTAGCGCGCACACCGCGGCCCATGATTCTCCATGTCCATGCTGTTGCCTACTGCGCTAAGCAGGGCATGTCGCGTTGCGAAAGCTGCTCAACATGTCGCCGATAACATGCCATCGCTTCAGGATGCGGCAGGGCCTAGAAGCCTGGGTGTGCCCTGGAACACGGGACACGCACGACATGAGAGATCTGTGACGGTCCAGTTGTGTGTGTGTCTGGGGCAAATCGTATGCAGTATCCGGAAATGGTTTTCGTGCAGTAGCTGGCAGCTGAGCCCTCGGAGCTTTTGGATGTGGAAGGTGGTACCCGCGTCTGCGAGCTTTGCATATATCTTGTTGCTGCAATACCTATGCATCGAGTGCCGCAGAATGAAGTCGTAGGCTTCAGCTAGTGCAAAGTAACTGCGTTGCGCAACTCGTGGCAAACCATGGCAAACCTCAACATTGAGGCGACACATGAGCCCAGACGGTGATGCTCTGGGAAGCGCAGGCCAGCTCAAAGCTTCATTGCCAGGGTTTCGGCACATGGGCAGGTGTCATTCGGATGTGATTCCTGTCAATCGTTGCATGCATTGTACCACTTTGAAGAATCGTTGCGCAACCTGATTGTATGATGTAGACACCGCAAATTTGACGCACTTTTTGCCAGGCAGCCGGATCTTGTCCCGATGCAGGTGCGCCCACATTCACTCTTACAGTGTTCGAATGTGCCAACCCTGGTTGTACTCAAAGTGCTTACCACACGAAAACCGTATGCTGAGCTAAGCGCTGGTGCTTGTAACACGTGTGAATCTGAAAAGAAGCGCTCAGCACAGTACTGTATATTTTGTCGCAGTGTAATTACTCTACAAAAGCTATAGCACACACAGGCGATCTTTACACTCCGCACCCAAACTCTGCCAGCGAATGTCCACAGTCTGTGTACCAGGGCCCACACACGTCTCAGAATACAGCACTTATTTCTACCGTATACAATCTTATACTATACGGTATGTGACGCATACTCTAGTTACGTCGTAGTACCAGTATTCGAAGTAGTCAAAGTGATGTATTCGGGTGCAGGGCATTCCGGCAATGTCTTGAGGTGGCATGTGCCATACTGAGGTATATGTAGTGCACAGGACGTCACACGCCTTTCATTAAAACACTGGGCCGTAGAATGCTGGATTTTCATCCTGCAATCTTGGAAAAGGCGCAACCTAGGCCTCGAATAAGAGGGGTAACATAAGAAATGGATACTGCCATGTGCTCCGCTATTATCGGTTTTGTAGGTCTGGGATAGCGTCGGATAGCGGGGTCACATTCCTGCATGAGCTCGGTCCGGGAAGGACTTTTTGTCGATCTCGTTGAGGTCTCGGGCCTGGGTAGTTCGCTCGAGCTATGGCTGGTGTTGTCAGGACACCAACTGGGGTCAGCAGCAACAGCGGCCTCAAGATCAGGCTGATGGCTACTACGCTCATAAGGTTCGGCTCCCTCCGTACATCGAGTCGATCGCTGCCTGTGAGGATGGCGATCCCAAGACCTTGTTCATCATGGTCGACACGAGGGACGAGAGGATCGTGTCGCATTTTCAGGCATGCTGGTGCGGGAGGTCATGACAGCCTCGTCCAGCTCCATCAACGTTCTGACTGAGCGAGACAGGTCATGCCCCGAACTCCGGGTATTATCTTTGGCTCTTTGCGAATTATATTTTGGATGAGATCAAGCTACGCTCTTTATCTCGGTGGACTCGACCACTGGGACCCCATGTGGCAATTGGTCTGTCTGCTCTGCTCAGACCGCCAAGGCGCTCGCCCACGAGGCTTTTCAGCCCTCCTCGTGGCCAGTGCTCCGGGACATTTCGCCATCGTATACCGATGTCAAGGTGTACAATGGCGACGGGATGCTTTTTCACTGGATCCTGCGGGGCTATCGAGCCGACTCAGATCTGCCGGTGAAGCAGCAATTCGCTGATAAGCTGCTGATCCGTGATGTGTGCCGAGGAAGGGGTGCTTGTTTGTGGTCGTGACCGCGCTCGCGGGATGGAAGTGATCCGCCTTCTTTTGCGAGTGTGGCCGTCGCAATTATTCTATTGGGCCCCAAGGCGTGCTGGGGATCATGCCCGATCGCGGCTTGAGCGCCGAGTTTGCAGCAGGTCTTCTGATGCCGCGGTCGGGAATGACGCCGATCGGTTGGAGTTCTGCTACGGGGACGCCAACTTAATGGATCTGACGTGCACTAGCACCTCGGTCTGCTACAAGTTGACGGTCTCCCACATTGCTGGACCCATACACTCATTCAGGCAATCGCCCGTTACCGTGATCAGCGTGCTCGGGTGGGGCACCAGAACAGACTGAGCAGTTCGCTCAGTTGGCAGCTGCTCACCAGAACTGGTGGCACAATGCAGCCAGCACCGATTGCGTTATTTTCGGTGTCCTGGTATTTTGCGTGTGGGCTTGATCATGGAGGAGGCAGAATCCTGCCGAGCCGAGCTGATGGGAGCACGAACAAGGTGAGCAGGACCAATAGGAACACCACCGCAGCAAGAACAAGCCGCGCGCACCCCGAGTCCCGCACCACCGAGCGACCACGACTCCCCCTTCTTCAAGAGAGGAGAACAACGGACGAAAGCAAGGAATCAACATGAACAAGTGGCTTTCACACAGACATGCGCAAGAAAAGTGCAGAACTGCAGCAAGCCCCCAAAACATGAACATGAAATTGCCAACGTGAACTGCAGGCTGCGACTGTCAGACACGAGAAAGAACATGTGCAGAACTGCCGCAATCCCTCAAGCATGCGCAAGAGCAGCATGAACTTGCGAACTGTTGGCAAAACTGCTAGGTGAGGGCTGCTGCCTGACTTCCCGCCGAGCTGCACGCCTCGATCACTCTTTTTGCCCGAGCGGGCTGCACCAGGCTGGGGCGCCCTAAGCAACCTGGGTGAACACCAAGAAGCCTGAGCCTGGCCTTACGCAGATGCTTCGATCATGGATTCAGGCAAGCGTCTCGGCAACCCGGCTCGCCAACTCCAGTTCGTGCTCGCGGTGGAGGCTGATACTCCCGGACAGTTCGCAGCGAAGGTGTTCGAGTGGACGGCCCGCTCGGCGAAAGAGTCCTACGAAGCTGCTCGAGCAGTTTTGGGTCTTTGTAAGAGCGGCCGAGACTTTTTTCACCGAACCCCTCTGGTATCTGATGGACTTTGCACACCGATCGCGCAGTTTCAGCGAGAGGTGGCCGTTCGAGCTCTCGCTGCTCCGGTGCTGCGCACGATGTTCAAGATCACAGCGCTGACGAGATCCTGTCAGCCGAGGAGATGGCACGCCTTCAGCTTCTGGTGTTCACCTCCGGGGGTCCTTCTCGAGAAGTTCGAGCTGTGGGCGCAAAAATTCGGGATCCAGCTCTGCCCCATCACTGACGATAAGATCCTGAAGTATACGCGGTGGAGCTTGATGCCCGGAATGGAGTTCCCAGTTCCCACTAGTTGAGCGCGATTTCTGGGTGCCGGAGCTCGAGACCAAAACACAATAGCGGACACTCCTCCGGACTGTGCTCGTTCGATGCAGTGGCTCCACTATCTGGTCTGGATCGCTGGCAAAGAGGACGGAGTCACCAAGGAGGTCCTCGACAAGGTTCTTTCGTTGAGATGGCACCCGGGTGACGATGTTAGACAAGTTAGAACACTAGACCAGGCAGTGCACTTCGATCGCACGGAGCAGGAGATAGGGGTCCAGGCAAACGAAAAAAACTAAATCCTCGGCCGCTCGTACACCAGGTCCCGCGACTCCTTGCCGGCCAAGATGATCAACGATCTTGTTCAGGAAATCTCTCGCGAATTCCTGCAGTGCTCAAACTTAGCCGATCCTTGAGGCCTTTCTCCAAACATGGTCCATCGCACAGTGTATCCCGATTCGGACAAGGTGCCACTTCTGGAAGATTTGAATGTCGAGCCTTGCGTTTAATTCTCCTTCTCACTTAATCGTTTCACCCGCTGCTTGCTCTCTCTCTCTCTCTCCCTCCCTCGCTCCTCTTGCGTTTGCATCCACACGTAAGGTAGTAAGCACTCGTGCTCCTGCCTCGTCCTCTCCCCTGACATCCGTCCGTTCCACTCTTTGGCTAAGCTCGCTCAATGCAAGAGCCCGAGCGACCCGGTGTTCACGGACAGGAGGGGGCCGCCGTCCAAAAGCGGATGGGCCGATACGTTTCAAAAGATGGCCTCGGCGCTGCGGTTTCCTTTTATTGCCACGTTGCCAGGGCCTTTACTGGCCGTTTGGCTAGGGCGACCGGTGCCCAGTTCAGCTCACGGCCACCCGAGGCATTGAGCTCTGAAGGATTCAGATTTTCGGGAGGTGGGGCAGTGACATCATTCTGAGGTACATGAGACACGCCCCTCTGCCCCAGCTGGCGGAGATCTGGTGCGAGTCCGGAATGATTGGGAATGTGGAGAATTTCCGCGAGGAACTACCAAGTATATACTCCGATCGGGCCTGCTTTGCCCACACCTTCCGAACATTTCATCCTTAATGTGGCCCGAGGTGGGGGAATCCACAGGTGCTGGACTGACTTTACGGTGCCATCAACTCTTTCTGTCCCAAGTCCTATGCTTGTGGCCGTTTGCCAATGGCGAGTCCCGCTTCAAGGCACATAGAGGCCGCAAAGGCAAACATTGCTTCCCAGAGGACATAACAGCACCAGAGGACTCCACTCTCCGCTAGCTCTTCCACTTCAAGCTTCTCGAGCTCGAACTCGAGTAGCAGCTTTTAGCTTTCACCGACCAAGCAACCGCGCTCTAGCAGGTGGGGACTTTTGTGTTGCTGGTCACGGTCATGCGCGTAGTTTTGCCCTCTTGAGCAAGCGGAGCGACCTTTTTGCGACCTACAGTTAAAAA